TGGTTTTTTGCATTCAAATATCAAAATATGAAAAAACGCGGAAAATTTTGCAAGCACACAACTTTGAAAAATTCTAGTACAAAAACGGGCGGGTGAATTCCATTGAAACTTTCCAAACATAAAGGCCAATGTTCTGTTCATCAACTCCTAAAGTTGAATTAATAAATCTCGCTAACTGTGAAAGTAGTGGTTTTTGGCCGCAGTAAGAAACAGTCGTTTGAGCCATCCTATGGGCGTGCAAAAAACTCCTTGATTGGACCATACGACTATTGGGATGGAGCGGAAAACGCTCGGGTTTTCCAACTTTTCGCGTCGACTTAGCTTGATAAATTTCTACAAACATTATTATGCTGGGAAACCCTTCGACCCAACAAAGACACTGTTTGCGGTTAATCAGACGCAAATATTTGCGGCTGTTCAAGGAAACCGGGAAGCTGATGATTTCATCGCCTTCCAAAATTAACTTTTCCCAGTGTAAACACAGATGGTCGATATTGTTTAGAGCCAATCAAACAACACAAACGACTAGCAAAGCTCAGTTACCCATCTTGGAATGATTAAAGCTTCTTATCCAGGCGCGTATTAGATTATTAGTGTTGGGCTCTTGTCGCAAATTTCTGGATAAAATCTGCAACGTTTTAATCGGGGGTTTTCTGTTTCTGTTCGCCTATTGTTCAACTCCTCGCATAGATCTCGGGCTATTTTTGTCTGCATATTTAATGACTAAACTGCATACGAGGCGCATAGTAAAGTGCGTCTCCTGGAAGTAACACTTTCAGATACAGGTCAAAAACCTTGCACGTGCACTGAGCTGAATATTGCTCAGTTGTTGTTAGATATTCATGGCAAGCCTGCCCACCTTCTTTGCCTATGATCTATTTCAGCTTTAATAAGCTGATGGCGTGTGGTTGCTCAAGAATTTGGCCTTTACAACCGCACCATTCTTTGTTTTATCTAAGTACTTTGGCACCGGTTTAGTCAAAGAATCTCCGCCTAAAAGCCTTCTGTTCTGTGTGATTTTAATGCTATGAAAACGCTTCAGATTGCAAACACCACTTAAATAATATTAAGTACATCTCTGGGGTTTTATGCAAACAGTTCAGTGTTGGGTACTGAATGTCCCGATTAGCAAGTCGGCGATAAAATCTTTAATTCAATTTAACAGCTGGTAATTAATTAAGCTTGATGGACCCTAGCAGTATTCGCACTTTGGGCGTTTAGCTAATTGGACGATCAGCATCCTCCTTTTTGATCAAAATACGTTAAAGGAAAGATTGATTTTTGAAAATTATCGGGCTATTACGGGCCTCCATAAGTTCCCTACCTGTGGCCGGTTGAATTGGTCATAACATCGAGTCCCTTTAATTCCGATTGCTGGCGACTGGTCGATTTCTTGCAGCAGTTGACCCATGCATTTTTCGAATAGCACGAATAGAGCACACAGTTGAGCCACCAACGCTGACCGATGCATTTTTCTGCGGTTCAAATGCCGCTTTTGTCTAGACAGCAACTGAAAATCAAATATTTTACGCGTTCATAGAACGTGGGCAAGCATCGGTCGAAGATGCTGAAGAAGCAGGCAATCAAAATTGCAATACAATTCTAAACTTTTCAAGCTTAGATTTGATTT